GCCCTCCACGAAGCCTCTTGCACTCAGAGCCCAGCACATGCTCGGGACGCCCCTCTCCTGGCCCCACCATGCCTCCTGGAATCCGATATTTCCTTTATTTCTGCAACTATATTTTTCTCTTTCTTTCCCGCCTTTCTTCCTTCCTTTTTTCTTTTTTCTTTTCTTTTTAAATGGAGTCTCACTCTGTCTCGAAGGCTGGAGTGCAGTGGCGCAGTCTCCGCTCACGGCAACCTCCACCTCCAGCGACTCTCCTGCCTCAGCTTCCCAAGTAGCTGGGACTACAGGTGCGCGCCACCACACCCAGCGAATTTTTGTATTTTTGGTAGAGACGGGGTATCCCCATGTGGGCCAGGCTGGCCTCCAACTCCTGACCTCAAGTGATCTATCCACCTCAGCCTCCCAAAGTGCTGGGATGACAGGCATGAGCCACAGAGCCGGCCTGCCATTATGGTTCTGTGTGATTCCACCCGAGGCCTGGCAGCCAGGGTTTACCCCCTCCCCCAGGCCCTGCGGAAACGGGGGCACACCCCTCTCTGGGGTGGGGGGACCTAGGCACTGCAGGGTGCTGGGCAGCGTCCCTGCCCCTGCCCACTCCACACCGGGAGCACCCGCAGGACGGAGCCCCTGCGCTGAGCCTGTGAGGACACAGCTGCACCCCCGGCTCACGCTCAGCGGGGCCCCGGCTCACCTTTCTGGATGAACGTGTTCACACGGATAGCCACCTGCCGCCCACCCCCAGCACCCTGCATGGCTTTGCCTCAGTGGGTCCCGGGTCTCCCGGCCCCTCTGGGGGTCTGGGGATGCCAGGGGAGGAGGGCAGACCCACCTGGCGCGTGGTGGGCACAGAGAGGCTGAGGCCGTCGGTGGAGATGTGGATGGAGATGCTCATGCCAGCAAAGCGAAGGTTGCTCTTGCCCAGGACAGACGCCAGCGCCTTGTTGGGGGCCTGAGTCGGGGCGAGCACAGCGAGGGCTGCCGTGGGTGGGGGCTGTCGTGGCTGGGGGCGCCACAGGTGGGACTGCTGTGGGTGGGGCCGCCGTGGGTGGGGGTGCCACAGGTGGGACTGCTGTGGGTGGGGGTGCCACGGGTGGGAGTGCTGTGGGTGGGGCCGCCGTGGGTAGGGGCCATGGAGGGGCTCCCAGGATGGCCCCGACTGCCCACCAGCCACCCCAGGAGAGGCCACGAGCCTCACTCACCTTTCTCTTCCAGGATCCCCGGACACCAGGCACAGCCTCGTGGAGACGGTTGATGGCTTCCCTGGGGTTGGGAGGAGGGGCTTAGCAAATGTGGTGGGGGGCGGTGAGGGAGGGAGCTGGGGAGGAGAGGGTGAGAGAGGCCGGAATGCGGAAGGAACAGGAGCTCAGAGAAGGGCGGGAGCCAGAGGGGAGAGGAAGGCAGAGGGGGAGGCGTGGGAGAGGGCGGGGGCCTTCGTTGGGGAGGGGAGGGGCTGGGGGACTGGGGAGGGGTGCCCAGCAGGACAGGCACGGAGCCCACCCTGAGTGTGTCCTTGTGTGCGGCAGATGCACGGCCCCAGCTCCGGCCCCTTGCACCCTTTCTTTCCCAGGGAGCAGTGACACCCTGGCCTCGGCCCACGGGGAAGGCTTGGGACCAGGTCTGGGGGCGCTAGACCAGCGAGGAGGAGACCCGGAGCCTGATCCTGGGTCCTGTCCTGATCCTGTCTGCAGTGCTGGTGGAGCGACCTCCGCTCTGGAGGGCCCCTGAGTGCGGCAGGAGCTGACCCCAAACCAGCGCCTCAAACCACGGGTCCCAGGAGAGGTTAGAACGCTGTGGGATGCACGGCTGGGCGAGGCTCACACCTGTAATCCCAACACTTTGGGAGGCCAAGATGGGCTGATCATTTGAGGTCAGGCGTTTGAGACCAGCCTGGCCAACAGGGGGAAACCCCATCTCCACTGAAACACAAAATTAGCTGGGCGTGGTGGCAGGTGCCTGTGGTCCCAGATACTTGGGAGGCGGAGGCAGGAGACTCACTCGAACTTGGGAGGCGGAGGTTGCGGTGAGCCGAGATCCTGCCATTGCACTCCAGCCTGGGCAAAAAGAGCAAAATTCCATCCCCCTAAATAAAAAAAACTCTTTGGGGTCCTGAAGGAGGCTCAGAAATGTCAGCATCCTGTGGAGAAACCAAACCCCACCCAGGGCGGGTGGAAGTTTTCATGGCACGGCCGCTGAGGAGAATAGAGTGGGGGCCCCCTCAAAAGGTTAGGGTCACCATGTGACCCGGAATTTCACTCCCAGGTGTGTTCCCAAGAGAAACAGAAATACGTCCACAGGCCAGGCGCGGCGGCTCACGCGTGTAACCCCAGCACTTTGGGAGACCGAAGCACGCAGATCACAAGGTCAAGAGATCGAGACCATCCTGGCCTATGGGGGGACCCGCGTGCCCTGGCAAGGGTCTGGAGCCTCAGCCTGTTCCCAAGTAAATACTGATTTAGAAGAGAATTAGAAAGGTAGGCACATAGTTATTCCTTCAGATAATCATATATAATCTACAGTTACCTCTAAAGATATACACTCAATATAACCTTTAATCCTGCTAGTGACTCTCGGGTTATGAAGCGTGGAACTGCGGTGACACTGTGAACAAAGTGACCCTAAGTCACGATGCCCTAAGCCCTCTGTCACGCCCGCACAGGGCTGCCGGAGGGCACCTCAGCTATGTATGTGCCCGCGCTGGGGACGCGCCCGCTGTTAGCCAGCTGGGGGAGGAGGCGTCCAAAGTGGCCGAGACGCCTCCTTCCTGGGGAAGTCAGGAGAAGACTCCGCTCCCACAAGCTCCCGCCGTGGCCTGACGGCTGTCGGGGAGACCCTCGGACTCCTGGGGCTCCGCTGCCTCCATGTGAGGCTGGCCTCAGCGGCCACGTTCCACGTCCACTCACACGCCCTGCGTCTGCACCTGGTTCCTCTTCTTCTCAGAAGATAATTAATAATAGTAACGTAATCTTAGTGTCCTTGGTATTTCTGAGAAATACATGAAGAGCGCTGACGCATTCGGTTTTCTCCTGACCTCGGCTACGTGGAAGTCCTGGGCCCCCGTCTCCAAGACACGAGATTTACGTGACCTGTCACCGGCCACTGTTACTGCCCCGACCTTCCCCGCCCCCTGCTTTGTTCTCAGTAAATTAAGTCAGAGCGTCCAGGCGGTGGGGGCCACTGCAGGTCCCCGCGCTTCGGCTGGCAGTGGACCCCGAACTCCCTTCCCTCTCTCTGTGTCTGTGTGTTTTATTTCTACGGTTTCTCGTCTCTGCACCTGCAGGGAGGGGCTCAGAGGACCCTATAGGGCTGGACCCTATACTGGCCAACATGGTGAAAACTCATTTCTACTAAAAAAATACAAAAATTAGCTGGGCGTGGTGGCGCGTGCCTGTAGTCCCAGCTACTCAGGAGGCTGAGGCAGGAGAATTGCCTGAACCCGGGAAGCGGAGGTTGCGGTGAGCCGAGATCGCACCATTGCACTCCAGCCTGGGTAACAAGAGCGAAACTCCGTCTCAAAAAAATAAAAAAAGAAAGAAAGAAAGAAAAGGAGGCTCCAGCCACCCAGGCCACAGCGTGGGGATACCTTGAGGACGTCACGCTCAGTGAGAGACGCCAGGCACAGGAGGCCACGCAGCCTGTGATCCCCTTTATATGAAATGCCCAGGACAGACCCATCCACAGAGAGGGGAGGGGCGTGGGCGCCGGGGCTGGGAGCAGGGCACAGGGTGACCGTGACGGGGTTTTTTGTTGGCGTAACGAGAATGTTCGGAACTAGGCAGCGATGGTGGCCGTGAAGATCAAAAAAGGCCCCAGAGACTCCGTGAAGGTCCTAAAAAGTCCGAATCATCCTCTGTGAGTGGGTGAACTGTCTGACGTGTGAACTGTGTCTCACAGATGCACGTGTTAACTCACGCACGTTGCTTTTTTTCAAGTCTACACGAATGAAATCAACAAGTTTTCGCAGAAAAAAAGGGCATGGGCCGGGCGCGGTGGCTCACGCTTGTAATCCCAGCACTTTGGGAGGCCGAGGCAGGCGGATCAGGAGGTCAGGGGTTCCAGACCCGCCTGTCCAATATGGTGAAACCCCATCTCTAATAAAACACATGTCAGGCGGGGTGGCAGGCGCCTGTAATCCCAGCTACTTGGGAGGCTGAGGCAGGAGAATCTCTTGAACCCGGGAGGCGGAGGTTGCCGTGGGTTGAGATTGCGCCATTGCACTCCAGCCTGGGTGAGAATGACGCTCCGTCTCAAAAAGGAAAAAAAAAGAGAATAAAAAGGGTGTGGACCTCCTCCCTGCTAAGGCCCCAGCTGTACCCACCATCCCGGTGACCCTATTCCAGGCGCCCTGCAGCATCCTGAGGCCACCGTGTGGAAACGGCGTGGACAGAGACACCGCTGAGCCCCGGTCTCCAAGAGAACCCACCGGCCCTGCACCCACACACCCTGTGATTCACCGGGGTTCTTTCCATCTCAGTGGAAGGCTGAGATAGGCAGGGCACGGTGAGTGACGCCCGGCGCAGGGACAGGGTGGCATCGTGGTGTGAGGTGGGAGGTGGCAGGGCACGGCACCGAGGGTGCGTCCCGGGACCCCGTGGGAGACCACGGCACCGAGGGTGCGTCCCGGGGCCCCGTGGGAGGCCACGGCACCGAGGTTGTGTCCCGGGACCCCGTGGGAGGCCATGGCACCGAGGCTGCGTCCCGGGACACCGTGGGAGGCCACGGCACCGAGGCTGCGTCCCGGGACCCCGGCGCAGCTGTCCTGGAGCCCATCTCGGAGGCCTCCAGCGCCCACAGAGCCCGACGCGGCCCGGGCAGGGTAGCAGGCTCACCTGGTCACCTGTGTGCGCGTGCTGAAGTCCAGGGAGCGCATGGAGCGGAGGACCTCGATGCAGCCCATGTACTGCCAGGAGAGAGAACAGGTGTCAGAGGCCAGCGTGGGACGCCCCCAGAGCCCCCGCCATCGCCGCCTCTGGGGTCGAGCCCTATCCTCCGTCCCCGGGGGCTCCAGAGCCCTCCGGCCTCCCCCACCTCGAGGCCCAGCCTCAGCGCTGTCCCGAGAGCTGCCTCGTCCACCCCGGGCGTTTTCTCAGTGTCTGTTTCTCAGGAGCCCGGCGGGTTCCTCCTGAGCTCAGTCACACTCGTTCATTTAACCGCCTTGCCCTCGTCGGTCCCCTTCTGTTCCGCCGGCACCTAAGCCGAGCACCCTGGGCGTGGTGCGACCCTGGCGTGTCCCCAGCGCCCAGCTCGGGGTCTGGCAAACAGCGGGGTGGGCATCCCGGCAGCCGCAGGTGAGCGCACTGCTGGCCTCACCCTCCACGGGGAGCTTGGGGCTCCTGGCCGGGGAGACAGCCGTTTCCATGAAAGGGAATTCAGCCTCAACGACCGTGATGGTGCTGAGGGCAAGGGGGCGGACACGTCCCACGCAGCCCCTGACCCGCTTCATGCCATGAAGGGTGAGGGGCAGGGCCCGGGGGCGAAACCACAGTGTCCGTCCGGCCCTTGCTGGTGGGAGGGTGAGCGGCACGGCCGGCGACACCTGCAGGAAATCTCCCACCCGGGCACCAAGAGGCTGTGTGGCCGCCAGGGCCTGGGCATGAGGCCTGATGGGACCGGTTCCTACTGGGGTCATGAGAAATTCTGGAATGAGACGGAAGTGGTGGTTGCACAATATGATGTACTAAACGCTACCGAATTGCGGAATATGTGACGTGCAAAACGAGCAACCGTTAATGTGCTGGGCGCGGGGGCTCACGCCTGTCATCCACACGCCTTGGGAGGCCAAGGCAGGTGGATCACGAGGTCAGGAGTTCAAGGCCAGCCAGGCCAACATGGTGAAACCCCATCGCTACTAAAAATACGAAAATTAGCCGGGTGTGGTGGCGCATGCCTGTAGTCCCAGCTACTCGGGAGGCTGAGGCAGGAGAATCGCTTGAGCCCAGGAGGCGGAGGCTGCAGTGAGCTAAGATTGTGCCACTGCACTCCAGCCTGGGCAACAGAGCGGGACCCCATCCAAAAAAAAAAAAAAGTTAATGTTACGTGAGTTTTACCTCCATTTTTTTTTTTAATTATCAGCATGCAAATGCTGACCCTGCATGTCCGTTTTTAGGACTTTACCCACAGCTGCATCAGCCTGCGGGCTTGTCAGGTGTGTGCTGGGCACGGCACCAGCTGGCCCAGGCTGTGCCCTCCTCCACGGCTCCAAGCGCCCGGAGCAGGGAGAGCGAGGAGCAGAGCCGGACATGAGAACGCAGGCAAGGAAGCAGAGGCCACAGGCCCCGGGCTGCAAAGGGGGCCGGGGTTCATCCTGGGCCAGCTGGAAGCCAGGGAGCTGTCACAGAAGGTAGGGACAGGGCCGCCTCCCCTCCTGCTGAATGGATGGAGGATGGATGGATGGGTGGATGAAGGATAGCGGGTGGACAGACAGGCAGATGGAGGATGGATGAATGGACAGAGGGGGGTGGATGGGTGGGTGGAAGACGGATGAATGGCTGATGGATAGATGGGTGGATGGACAGACAGGCAGATTGAGGAGGATGGATGGATGGATGGGTGGATGGACAGACAGGCAGACTGAGGATGGATGGATGGACGGATGGATGGATGGATGGATGGGTGGGTGGGTGGATGAACAGACGAATGCACTCTAGGATGTAGCAGACACGTCAGGCCCTGAAGGAATTAGTCATGGTCCCTGTCCCTAGCACTGGAATCCCCCCCCCCGAGGAGGCAGCTTTGGTGGGGCGCTGGCTGCTCAGTGGCCGTCCTCTCTCTGGGGTGGTGTCTGAGCCAGCGTCTGGCCCTCCAGGGCTGCGGCTGAGGGATTCTCACTCACTTACCTGCCCCCCAATTGGCATGTAGCCCACTCGGTTGTGTCGCTGAAACCCTCCTTTGAGCCCCCAGCCCCTGCCTGGATGAACGGTGTGGTGCATGGAGCGGGCTGTGCGGACACAGCCCAGTGCACGGGGGACAGAGGACTAACCCCCCATGGCCCGTGGCAGCCCCAGAGAGGAAACGCACTATCCCGTTGGGCTGAGAGCAGGGACTGCAAAGTCGGATACCTACAGCCTGCGGGACCAGGCCGGTGAGCACGTGAGGCGGGTCCAGGTGGTAAGGACGCTGACGCCCCGCTAAGTCACAGGGCGCCTGTCAGGTGCGCGGCTCGGCTGTGAGCACACGGCGCATGTGACCCTTGAATCCACTCCACGCAAATCCACACGCTACGGCGGCGATTACCCCTCGGGAGACAGAGACCCGGGTGGCGCGGTGAGCAACGTGCGGGGCCACACAGCTTGCGGAGCTGGGCCCTGAACCCACAGCCCCGGGCTCCAGAATCCGCACGGCTCCCCCTGCACGACAGGAAGGAGTGGGGACCTCGGCACACGGCGTGTCCCGCATTCCAGAGGGCCCAGGACTGCCACCATTTGCTTTTTCTTTTTTCTTTTTCTTTCTTTATTTGAGACGGAGTCTCGCTCTGTCCCCAGGCTGGAGCGCAATGGCGCGATCTCGGCTCACCGCAACCTCCGCCTCCTGGGTTCAAGCAATTCTCCTGCCTCAGCCTTCCGAGTAGCTGGGATCACAGGCACGCTCCACCCGCCTCCGCCTCCCAAAGTGCTGGGATCACAGGCGTGAGCCACTGTGCCCAGCAAGCCACCAGGCCTGGCTGCTTTTTAAAAAAAAAAAGAGACCAGAAATCCAGGGCTTTTGTGTGAAATCCCCCCAATTTGTAAATATGAACGCTAGGTCTGAATGTCAGTGCCCCCCTCACAATCCCTCTGGGGAAACCTAAGCCGTGAGGGTACTGAGAGGTGGGGCCTTTGGGAGGTGAGGAGGCCATGGGGGTGCCACCTTCACGACCGGGATTAAGGCCCTCATAAAACATACCCCAGGCCGGGCGCGGTGGCTCACGCCTGGAATCCCAGCACTTTGGGAGGCTGAGGCAGGTGGATCACAAGGTCAGGAGTTTGAGACCAGCCTGGCCAACATGGAGAAACTCCAACTCTACAAAAAATACAAAAATTTGCCAGGTGTGGTGGCGGGTGCCTGTAGTCCCAGCTACTAGGGAGGCTGAGGCAGGAGAATCACTTGAACCTGGAAGGCAGAGGTTGCGGTGAGCTGAGGTCACGTCACTGCCGTGAGGACACAGGGGAAGACGGTCCTCTGTACAGAGGCCCTCGCCCGGCACTGAATCTCCTGGCACCTTGATCATGGGCTTCCCAGCCTCCAGAACCTGTAATGCCGGCACTTCAGGAGACCGAGGCAGGAAGATCTCTCAAAGCCAGGAGTTCAAGACCAGCCTGGGCAAAGTAATGAGGCCTCATCTCTACCGCAAAATAATTTTTTTTTTTTTTTAAACGGAGTTTCCCTCTTGTTACCCAGGCTGGAGCGCAATGGCGCGATCTCGGCTCACCGCAACCTCCGCCTCCCGGGTTCAGGCAATTCTCCTGCCTCAGCCTCCTGAGTAGCTGGGATTACAGGCACGCGCCACCATGCCCAGCTAATTTTTGTATTTTTTTTTAGTAGAGACGGGGTTTCACCATGATGGCCAGCCTGGTTTTGAACTCCTGACCTCAGGTGATCCACCCACTTCAGCCTCCCAAAGTGCTAGGATTACAGGCGTGAGTCACCGCGCCCGGCTTAATTTTTGTATTTTTAGTATTTTTTGTATTTAGTATTTGTATTTGTATTAAGTAATTTTTGTATTTTTAGGAGTTCAAGACCAGCCTGGGCAACATGGCAAAATCCATTTCTTTTTTTCTTTTCTTTTTTTGAGACAGAGTCTTGCTCTGTCGCCCAGGCTGGAGTGCAGGGGCGTGATCTTGGCTCACCGCAACCTCCGCCTCCTAGGTTCAAGCGGTTCTCCTGCCTCAGCCTCCTGAGTAGCTGGGATTACAGGCACGCACCACCATGCCCAGCTAATTTTTTGTATTTTTAGTAGAGACGGGGTTTCACCATGTTGACCAGGATGGTCTCGATCTCTTGACCTCGTGATCCGCCCGCCTCGGCCTCCGGAAGTGCTGGGATGACAGGCTTGAGCCACCGCGCCTGGCCAAAATAATCCTAAGGTTTTGCTGAAACGGGTGGTGAAGGTTTGCTGTGAACCCGGACACTGCACAGCGTCAGCGTCTCTCTCTCCGGATCACGTTCCAGGCCAGAAGGACCAGAAGGCGGCACCGGGCTAGAAACGGGCACGGCCTGGCCTGCGTGTGGCTCCCACGGCCTGCGCGGAAACGTCCCACACACCTGTCCCCAGCTCCACAAGTTCCCACAGACCTTCCTAATCATACAGGAAACAAACAGCACCTTTACCGGGAGAAACGTCACCTTAGCCGGGGGAAACGTCACCTTGGCCGGGAGAAACGTCACCTTAGCTGGGGGAAACGTCGCCTTACCCGAGAGAAACGTCACCTTAGCCGAGGGAACGTCACCTTGGCCGGGGGAAACACCGCCTTAGCCGGGGGAAACATCACCTTAGCCAGGGAAAATGTCGCCTTGGCCGGGGAGGACGTCACCTTACCAGAGAGAAACGTCACCTTAGCTGGGGGAACGTCACCTTAGCCGGGGGAACGTCACCTTAGCCGGGGGAACGTCGCCTTATCCGAGAGAAACGTCACCTTAGCCGGGGGAACATCACCTTAGCTGGGGGAACGTCACCTTATCCGAGAGAAACGTCACCTTATCCGAGAGAAACGTCACCTTAGCCGGGGGAAACGTCACCTTAGCCGGGGGAACGTCACCTTATCCGAGAGAAACGTCACCTTAGCCGGGGGAAACGTCACCTTAGCCGGGGAAATGTCGCCTTATCCGAGAGAAACGTCACCTTGGCCGGGGGAAACGTCACCTTAGCCGGGGGAACGTCACCTTAGCCGGGAAAACGTCACCTTAGCCGGGGGAACGTCACCTTAGCGGTCTCTTCATTTCCTGGGGCTGTCGTGACCAAAACCGCATGCGGGGCTCACGGTACCGGAGTGTATCCCTCCCCGCCCCAGGGCCCGGGCATCTGAGGTCCAGGTGTGAGCAGGGCCTCGCTGCCTCCGACGGGGAGGACCCTTCCTGCGTCTTCCAGCTTCCGGGGCGCCCGGCGGCCTTGGCTGGCTGTGCTACTCCCGTCTCCACCCCCTTCACCGCGCAGCCGTCGGCTTGAGAGTCTCCGTGCGAATTTCCCTCTTCTTCGAGGGCACACTCATGGCTCCAGGAACTCCAGGACAACCTCCGCACAACCAACCGCTTCTGCGAGCGAGGTCACACTCTGAGGCTGGAGGTGGACGTGAGTTTTGGGGAATGCCGTCACCCCGGGACACCCAGTGATCTAAGTTTCCAGCATGGGCATCAGGACAAACCGGCACCCGGCAGGGGCTCCTGACACCGTGGCTGGGGGCACCCAGCACCCTCCGTGCCTCCTGCCAAAAACACAAGCGTGGCCGATCGCAGGCAAACACCAGGCAGGCGCAGACCAAGGGACGGTTTCTTCAAAACCGTCGGCTCCTGGACCCCGAGACGGGACAACTGCCGGGCTAAGGGCTGTCACAGAGGCAGGACGGACGGGCACGGTGCTCACGCCTGAAATCCCAGCGCTGGGGGAGGGCGAGGCAGACACACGGCTTGAGCTCAGGAGTTCAATACCAGCCTGGGCAACATGGTGACACGCCGTCTCTACAAAAAAGTATAAAAACTAGCCGGGCACAGGGGCGGGCACCTGCAGTCCCAGCTTCTCAGGAGGCCGAGGCAGGAGAATCACTTGAACCCGGAGGCGGAGGTTGCAGTGAGCCGAGATCGCGCCCCTGCACTCCAGCCTGGGCAACCCCTGGGTGAGATCCTGTCTCAAAAATACATATATAAATAAAATAAAATAAAAATTAGCGGGGCGTGGTGGCACACACCTGTGGTCCCAGCAACGTGGGAGGCTGAGGTGGGAGGGTCGCTTGAACCCGGAGGCGGAGGTTGCAGTGAGCCGAGATGGCGCCACTGCACTCCAGCCTGGGCGACCCTGAGGCAGATCCTGTCCCAAAAAAAGAGAAAAAAGGCAGGAAGGCGAAATGCAACGTGGCGGGGGAAAGGAGCGGCTGCCTGACCGTGCTGTGGACACGCATCTGACCGCGGGATGGTAACGGTTCACTTCCCGACTGTGCTCTGACGCCGTCGCCACGCGAGAGAAAATCCGTGTCCTCGGAGCGTGAACCCCAGCGTGTCTGAGGGTGGCTGCAGACGTTTTCAACTGTTCATCAATAATCATGGCGTTCACAATGATAACTTATCCACGCAGGACAACCGCGGCAGGACGTCAGGAACCGGCGGATCTAGGTTAACGGCACACAGAAATTCTTCGTATTTGTCTTTTTTTTTTTTTTTTTAGATGGAGTTTCATCGTGTTGGTCAGGCTGGTCTCGAACTCCCAACCTCAGGTGATCCGTCTGCCTCGGCCTCCCAAAGGGCTGGGATTGCGGGCGCGAGCCACCGCGCCCAGCCTGTACTTCAGTCTTTTTTGTACCTTCATCTTCATAGAATTTCAAACTTACAAGAACTGTGTGTATCCTACTGTTCTTATTTCTCTCTCTCCTTTTTTTTTTCAGATGGAGTTTTGCTCATCTCAAACTCCACCTCTGAGGTTTCTGAGGCTGGAGTCCAAAGGCGTGTGATCTCTGCGCACTGCAACCTCCGCCTCCTGGGTTCAAGCAATTCTCCTGCCTCGGCCTCCTGAGTAGCTGGGACTACAGGTGCCCGCTACCATGCCCGGCTAATTTGTATTATTTTTTTTGGGACGGAGTTTCGCTCTTGTTACCCAGGCTGGAGTGCAATGGCGCGATCTCGGCTCACCGCAACCTCCGCCTCCTGGGTTCAGGCAATTCTCCTGCCTCAGCCTCCCGAGTAGCTGGGATTACAGGCACGCGCCACCATGCCCAGCTGATTTTTGTATTTTTAGTAGAGACGGGGTTTCACCGTGTTGACCAGGATGGTCTCGATCTCTTGACCTCGTGATCCACCCGCCTCGGCCTCCCAAAGTGCTGGGGTGACAGGCGTGAGCCACCGCGCCTGGCCCTGATTTGTATTTTTAATAGAGACGAAGTGTCTCCATGTTAGGCTGGGCTCGAACTACTGACCTCAGATGATCTGTCTGCCTCGGCCTCCCAAAGTGCTGGGGTGACAGGCGTGAGCCACCGCGCCCGGCCTCTTATTTATTTTATCTAAGGTTGAAACTATTTAAATTTCTTTGACGTTCACCCAGGTTACAGCGTGGAGGCACCCTGTGCTGTGCTGGCAAGAGTGCTGCCCTCCGCCCGTGGCCAGGAGGACGCCCCTCCCAGTAGTCACAGCCCCTTTGAGTGCCCCATGCCGTGGCCTTCCACAGAGGCGAGGGGCGAGGGGTGGGTGTCGCCCTGGGGCGCTGCGGGAATGTGAGGCACTGCTGGCCGTCTCGAGGCTGGGCGGCTGGCAGTACAGGAGGGAGTCTCACAATGGTGCCCCACTGTCCCCAGGCCTGGGGAGCGTCCTCCCGGGCACGGCAGCGTGGGGGGAAAGCCTTCCACGACTGCCACGTCTCCGACCTAACTCCACTTCGCCCGAAACGCTACAGAGCGGCGCGTTTTCCTGCGCTTGCTTTTTTATGGTGGTAAAACACACATCACATAAAACAGCATTTTAACCATCTGTTCTTTTCCTTTTTTTTTTTTTTTTTTTGAGACAGGGTCTCACTCTGTTGCCCAGGCTGCAATGCAGCGGTGCCATCTCGGCTCACTGCAACCTCTACCTCCGGGGTTCCCGCGATTCCCCCACCTCAGCCAGGCCCAGGTCTCCGCTTCGGCGTCGCCCCCACCGCAGCTGGGGCAGCCGGCCGGCCCTCCGCTCTGACACGGCCCGAGGCCTGATTCAGCTCCACAGAGCCACGAGAACCCACTGCCTCACCTGTCTGTCCTAATTTACCGACCGCCTCTCCCGCTGGGATCTCTGCTCCCTGAAGGCAGGACCAGGCCCCTCGTGCCTGCTCATCACCTGTGACTGGCAGGGGAAGCCTGCGCTGAAGGTTTCCTGTGCCGGTCGGGCGCGGTGGCTCACGCCTGCAATCCCAGCACTTGGGAGGCCGAGGCAGGTGGATCACTTGAGGTCAGGAGTTCGAGACCAGCCTGGCCAACATGGGGAAACCCCGTCTCTAATAAAAATACACAAATTAGCCGGGCGTGATGGCGCGTGCCTGCAATCCCAGCCACTCAGGAGGCTGAGGCAGGAGAATTGCTTGAACCCGGCTGTGGAAGGCGGAGGTTGTGGTGAGCCGAGATCGCGCCACGGCACTCCAGCCTGGGCGACAGAGCCAGAATCTGCCTCAAAAATAAAATAAAAAATTCCTGCTTGATGAAAAGCAGCCCAATGACCCCTCACATCCCGAGCCCCAAGAACCCTCGTGTCTGTGTCTGAATTCCAAACACTCGAAATCCCACATCCACGGCCAGTGGCCAGACGTGACAAGCCCCCGTGGGACGTGGAGTGAAGGAAGCCCACGCATCCTCTGGGAACATGGTGGCCGTCGGCATTAAACCTGCAGAACAAGCTGCCGGGAGAGGGCGAGGGGCGGCCGGCCGCCACGGGGAAAACACACCCACGCGGGCCTGGCGTAGGCACGGACCCGGGGAGGCAGGGCAGGTCTACACCGCAGGCCGAGGAGGCATCTGAGGCTGCCGATCCCAGGCCCCTGGACCACATACGGGGGTGAGACTCCACAGCCGGCTTCTGCGGGATCCCACAGGCTTTGGGGGGCCCAGGCTTCAGGCCCCGAGGCCCCAAACTCTGCCTCTGTCCCTCACAGCCTGGCCCTCCGTGCACCTCAGCCTAAATCTCCCTCTTCTTAGAGACCCACCCTGACCCAGCCAGGCCTCTTAACCGGATCACATCTGCAATGACCCCGATTCCAAATGACGTGAGACTCTGTAGGCACACGAATTCCAGGGGGGACCCTTCTCAACTCATGTAGGAGGAAGGACCTCCTCGGCTCACTGTAGGGGAAGGACCCCCACAACTCAGGGTAGAGAAGGACCCCCATAACTCAGGGTAGAGAAGGACCCCCATAACTCAGAGTAGGGAAGGACCCCCATAACTCAGAGTAGGGAAGGACCCCCATAACTCAAGGTAGGGAAGGACCCCCATAACTCAGGGTGGGGAAGGACCCCCATAACTCAGGGTAGGGAAGGACCCCCATAACTCAGGGTAGGGAAGGACCCCCATAACTCAGGGTAGAGAAGGACCCCCATAACTCAGGGTGGGGAAGGACCCCCATAACTCAGTGTAGGGAAGGACCCCATAAGTCAGTGTAGGGAAGGACCCCCATAACTCAGGGTAGGGAAGGACACCCATAACACAGTGTAGGGAAGGACCCCATAAGTCAGTGTGGGGTATGACCCCCATAAGTCAGTGTGGGGAAGGACCCCCATAACTCAGGGTGGGGAAGGACCCCCATAACTCAGGGTGGGGAAGGACACCCATAACGCAGTGTAGGGAAGGACCCCATAAGTCAGTGTGGGGTATGACCCCCATAAGTCAGTGTGGGGAAGGACCCCCATAACTCAGGGTGGGGAAGGACACCCATAACGCAGTGTAGGGAAGGACCCCATAAGTCAGTGTGGGGTAGGACCCCCATAAGTCAGTGTGGGGAAGGACCCCCATAACTCAGGGTGGGGAAGGACCCCATAACTCAGGGTGGGGAAGGACCCCATAACTGGGTGTGTGGAAGGACCCCATAACTCGGGCGAAAGCTCCCGCCCCCTGGGACCTGTGACGCTGCCCTGTCACTACCCGCGGTGGCCGCGCAGCGGCTTAAATCCTCCAGACGCCGTCCTGGGTGGGGGCGCGACTCCCCCGTTATGTATCACCGGACCCAGGGTGGGCAAACAAAGGACGCACTGGACGCACTGGAGTCCCCGCGGCCTCACGGTCCGTGCGCGCAACAGCCCCGCCCGCGCCCCC